TATCTATATCTATATCTATATCTATATACACACAAACACACAAACACATATATGTATATATATAGATATAGATAGATAGTTAGATATAATATATAGAATACTATAGAATATATATATAAATGTATATATTACTCTATAGTATTCTATTTGTTATATCTATCCATATATACATACATATATATATATATATATGTATGTATGTGTATATGTATATGCATATGCATATGCATATGTATATATATATATACGTTTAATGATATCATATTTATAATCGAGCTTTACCTACTGTGACAGAACCGGCAAGACACAACTGTGCTACACACTGGCGGTGACGTGCCAGCTGCCCATCGACCACGGCGGTGGTGAAGGAAAGTGTCTATTTATTGATACAGAGGGCACCTTCCGACCCGAGCGATTGCTAGACGTCGCTGAGCGCTTTGGACTGTCTGGCCAGGACGTGCTTGATAATGTGGCGTACGCACGCGCATACAACACTGATCACCAGGTATGTGTGCTCTATTTAGAGTATATATATATATACACACACACACACATATATATATATATGTATATATATAATTATATATATATATAAATATATATTACACACACACACACATATATATATATATATATACATGCATATATATACGTGTGTGTCTATGTCTGTGTCTGTATGTGAATGAAGGTATCATTTGTTTGAAGGAGGGGACGAATAGCACGCAAACATAGAAACCAATGAGTAGATAGTTTGTGAGGGACATTACGTGTGCGATTATTCACAAAGAATTGCTATCTTGCACCTAGCATCTCGCTTAAGCGGTCTGCTCAATATATACAAGTCTTGAAGATAATTAAATACTCTGACGATAATACGGGACACTCGCTGCAATGTCATGGTCCGTATGTTGTAGACATCTGTGCCATTCATGCATGTCGTGAATGCTGTCTAGAACTACATATCAGCATGCGCTATAAATTTTGAATAGCCTGTACTTACATATGGCGGTGTCAAATAAACCTGCATATCTCACATACGATTATTTTGATCAGTAAATAAATGCATTCAAACGCTACAAAGCCCCCGGACAGCCACTGTAGTCGCTGTTATCGGCCTGTGGTGAGAGCTACAGTATAAATGTCCTATACAAAGCAGTATTCGTATATATGTGCTGTATAAGCCTCTCATATCTTCACTTCTCTACACGTATAACAATCACAGATGAACCTGCTAACCCAGGCAGCGGCTATGATGGCTGAGGCTCGGTTTGCGCTGATGATTGTAGACAGTGCGACCGCTTTGTACCGAACTGACTACCAGGGCCGAGGCGAATTGGCTCCGCGACAGGCGCATTTGGGACAGTTTCTGCGGTTTTTGCTGCGCTTAGCGGACGAGTTTGGTGTCGCGGTGGTGATCACAAATCAGGTATATAGTTTCTTTTTGGTATAGTAATCAGATCTTTAATTTGGACTCATTATAGTTACGTTATATTTTTCAACTATCGTCTAATGTAGTGCCTGATGATGGCTAGAAAAATTCAAGCTCATCTTAGCCAACATCTCAATCGTCAGTGTCAAAACGCTCTAGAAAGCTTATCTGCACAGCCTCCCCTGTCTGAGGGTTCTATTTGGTGTAAACGCACCCTCACACGTGGGAGAGTGGCGGGTACTTAACCGGCTTTTGGAACTGCGCTTCGCTCTGTGGTGATCTACACTTACTGCACTTACTCCAGTCTCGCATTCTGAATCACACTCATGTTCAAACACCAACACGCCTACAGAGATGAGCACCTTAATGCGAGGTGATATTCCTTTATGGTTTTTATGAATATTGCGTATGTGTGGACTCACATACACCGCTTGTACGCTGCCTTCAGGTAACCGCGGCCGTGGATGGGCAGTCCTTTGCGCCCGACCCCAAGAAGCCCATTGGCGGGAACATCATGGCACACGCTTCAACCACACGGTAGGATGCTACACCGCACGCGCAGAAGTAAACGTTCAATGTGCATAGGTCAATGCATGTGACGTGCAGATGAGTGATATTTGAATCTGCCGAATGTATGATGAATATGGCGTTGACATTGGTATAGATAGCATTACATATTCATCCGATGTCGAAGTATATTTATCACATCGCACTTTTTTCTTAGAGTTAAATGGGTTCAACGTCGCACGGATCACACGCATGTAGTGGAACTCACATTAAGTTTTGTCCGCTATATATATATATATATATTACACCAAAACATATATATTTATATATAGATAAATATATATTACACCAAATTATATAAACATATATATATATATATATATTACACCAAATTGTACCATTAATACTTCAAATGTAAGTAAACGTGAACATATAGACCGACACATACGTATAAAACATCAGAGCAGCAGTATCTAGATCACTATGGTGCTATACTCGTGAATGCACGGCACAGTGTCGCGCATGTATAACAGTCCAATGGATTTGCCCTGTGTCATACTTAATCGCAATGTAGGTATAAGGCAAGCAACATTGCGTATTCACAATAACTGTGAAGAACATTTGTATTTGCAATGTAGTGATCCGTGGAACCGCAAACGTATTAGCGTAAACCGCACACCGCTCTATGGCTGTCTCATGAAATCGACGCTAAACATGAACAAACTGGCATAGAAGGTTTGGACCGTACAGAAACATATCCTCAAACTGTATACTTTTGTCTTCGCAGATTATACTTCCGAAAGGGCCGGGGTGATAATCGAATCTGCAAGGTCTATGATTCACCGTGCTTGCCAGAGTCGGAAGTCATGTTCTCGATCGGGAAGTCCGGTATAGACGAAGCAGTGGAGAAGTAGGTAACACTTTGATTGAGCCAGAATCATATATAAGAGAGCTGTTCAGAGCCAGCCGTAACCACAGTCACTGACTCTGTATGTCTAAAGCATCTTGGCAGCATGGGCTGAAAGCTGAAGGAAGCGAAAGAGATAGCTGGTATCCTGTTCGATCGCGCCTGCTCCTGTATACACGCGCATAAGTGTGTATCGCAGACGGCAATATAACCTCATCAACGCCTTTATTTCGTTCAATCCACCCAACCCAACCCGTCGGCACACACACAGTCGCATACCGATTTGCAACACCCCGCACATACAATCACACACAGCAACACACTCACACATGTATATCTACACAACGCCCTCCACACACTCATTGCGACACCTTTGCAACACACCGGTCAAGTACACTAACTCGTAAGCCACAGTAGAGCCCACAAGCCAACCCCTGATCGATGCAAGTAGTGTCGCAGATGGAGGTGTGTGAGATGCCCAACACTTCATAGTACAGACGGGTGGCGGATCGATAGCTCGTAGTGGCCCCAGTTAGAAGTTCGGTACGTAGCAGGAACGGCGGGCAGCCATACACCGACAGGCCGGGACATGGGGAATGGGAGCGAATATTGGCGTGGTTAACACAAACTCTGTATGTGTCTGAATAACGGAAGGGAAGCTGACTGCCGGCAAGGAAGGCGGCGTAGCATGGTTGGGTTTTAGGGTTTTACCAAATAACGTACGCACATCATCCTTCACATCGCGAATGTCTGCGCTGCTGTATGGAGGGATAAGCCATAGCCTGCCAATACGTAAACGTCTTCAGGGGTGCTACACGGCATGTTGCTGGTTACCTGTTGCCTGCCAATGAGTAAAGGTCTACAGGGGTGCTACACGGCATGTTGCTGAGCGAGTGAGGGTGATCTACTGACCTAAAGTGCTCCGTACAGGCTTGCGCTGTAGATCCGAGTGACATGTTTCGCGTTCCGAGTAGTTGTTGCTTGATGTTCTGAGGCAAGAAAGCATGCAGTAACATAGCCTTCTGTTCAATTAGAAGGCTATGGCAGTAAGTATGTAGCTGGACGTTGTGGTGAAATAATCCTTCGGCTGGGTTTATTACGATTCGACGCAGCGAACTATGTACGCCGGTCATTCTCATGCAGGAGATATCTGTGATTGTACGTACAAGGCGGTGCGTAGCCGGATTCACGTATCGACTCCAGATACAATTACGCTCAATGCTGGCGGCGTCAACGGTGGTGTCCTTGATTAAAGAATGAATTTAGTTGGTGGTTTCATCGAGGGAGTCACTGCTAGGCCTTCTCTACAATTGTGTGATTTGTAAGCGTAGTGTGCAACATATCCTCATGTAGTCAGAGAGACAGCGGAGTGTGCTTGATGTACGGCACCCACTCGGCATGTGCACTGGAATTACCTAGCAAACCTCTGCGGCGTATGATATCTGAGATGTTGTTTGTACTAAATCATACCCAATTCACGATAACTACGGTTCTTTTTAATTCATTTGTCGCTTGTGAACAAGTGTGCGTGGGGATGTATGTGCATATATACCAAAATATATGTTAGATTGTATATACTGGACACTTTGAGTGAATGTACTTGTATAAATTCTGCTGCATACAATTTTCATCGTACTTCGATGATATCTTCAATATAGGCATGAATATACAACCTCAGATATATTCAGAATATTAATTATGAATGTATACAAGTTCACGAGTAGATGGTATATCGATGCCTGTTAACATTCTTGGAAGACTAGTAGTTCAGAAGAGCTCATTTGCCTATCAAACAATCACAAACTCTACAACACTTAATAGGCAGACTAGCATATATATATATATATATATAATAAATACATACACACACACATATATATATATATATATATCTATATATACAACACCACACACACACACAC